AAAAGACAAGCAGTAAGCGCGATCGTTTCTCCGATAAAGTTCATATCGAATCGCGATCCTTCTTCTTGTATTTCAATCGGAGGGAGCGAAATCCCAATTTGTCGGGTGAGAAATCGATCAAGCAAATAACGCTTGAATCGTCGAGTAAATTCCACTCGTCGCGGGTTTGTTTACGAACGCTTAAACCTTCCATCATCGACGAAAGAGGTGTAACTTCTTAAAGAGTACCGACACTTTAATCTCTCCTCTGACCGGTCGACTCTTCCGGCTCGTGGGATCGAAATAAGAAGAAAGAAAATGAACGTTCGCATCGATTTTCAGGTCTCGCGGGAAATTGGCTAACGTTCGAGTACTGCGAACACCGTACATCTATCGGATACCAGTTCCATGAAGCTACGGGACCAACTTCGACCGCGATTGTATGAAATTCGATTCGAAGGCACGAATTTTCCATTACATCGAGTGCAACACCCTTATCATTGCCGCGCATATTCCACCGCCGGCGAACAGTTGCCATCCGCGAAGTAATGGAAAACAAACAAGGGAAATATCCCGCGTATACCACTCGGCCATTACTCGCCCACGTTATTTTATCCGCCTTCTATCCTATGCTTCCCCGATCGAACGGTTTAAACGTGGTTTTATATGCACGATGCCACGATCCCGTCGTAAATTTTGGCAAACGGACGCCCCGGGGACGAGCAACACTCCAGTGCATCGTTCCCTCCAGATACTGCGATTTTTATTACCCATCTCCTGTCCTCCATCCGCGTCTATCTCCTTTTTTCACCCTCTACGTAATGTGACACGATTAACGGGTTAGGTGTTTTTCATGTTCAACGAGTGTCTTCGATAATTTAAGACAGGCTGCGGATGTTTAAGCAAATGGATTGTATTCGTGATCAAATGAAATATATTGTGTCGTGCCAGATATTGATATTTCTACTGTGACGGTAATGTGTTAATTCTTATGTGAATAAGCAGATATATATTTCTATATATTCTTGAATTATTTATCATATTTTTAACATTTTTTCCATTAACGTTATCGAAATAAAAATTCATGCAAAAAAATTTTGAATATTAAAAGTTCAAGGGTTAATACGTTGGCTACTTCAATGAAAATGACACGGCACGCTATAATTGAAATTATTCAGAATACGGCCATTTCAGTTTTCAATTTAACCTTTGCATTTCCTTCCTTGAATAATTAATATAATATGATACGAATGATATTTAAAATTTTCCTTTGGTTGTTCGATTATATTAAATTCATTGTGCCGATGAAACGGTTCCCCGTGTCGATTAACGCGTTAATAGCATTTTCGTGTTTCTTTAAAATTTTTCAAGAACAGTACATTTCGCATGTATACTTATCCACCTGTGAAATATTGTTCATCACATTATAATTGCAAAAACGTCCATAGCCGATGGATGAGTGGTTGATTTTGGAAAATCATTTGGAACAAAAGGAGAAAAGTAGGCGGTAGCCAATTACGCAAAGCCCGTTCAATCATGTTATTTATCAATTACGAAAACGCAGAGGAAACTGTAATTAGTTAATTAATTGAAATACTGGTGAATAGATACGTTCGAAGTGCGCTTAAACTACGTTAATTACTGTGAGGATATATTGATTATGTTAGGTGAATGAACAAATTGTAAAAAGCAATTGAATTGAAAATAATGCAAACAGAAGCTGACATCAGGCCTCTAAAATAAACGAGACAGAAAATGGTGTGGAAATGGATCGGCCTTCGAGTAATATTCATGTTTTACTCTTTAAGCAGCTAATTAAATAATCACAAGTTATTATAGGTGGAAAGAACGGTATTAATGTTCAATTAAAAGTGACAGGCACCAGTTGAATTTACATACAGCAATTACAAATCGGATGCTAATTATGCGAAAGGTATTCAACGTGGTAGAAATCAAACTATGCGGACCTAATTTCCAGTTAAATTTAGCTTCGTCCACTCCAACTGTCAATTATAGTATAATATAATAAAGCACCAAACACAATTGCGTTTCTGATCATATGTGAAGTTTATAACAATGACCGTTTTGCTTTCGGTATTACCAATACTAAACGTTGAATAACTCTTGGAAGAAGATAATCGATTGAAGAAAAAAAAATGAAAATGACTTCAAAAAATTATTACTACGGTTTGCGCGATGCGACAGCGGTTTAATTTGGAAAATTGCTAGAACAAACATTAATCGAAGCTGAGATCCAAATGGAAAGTTCAACAATGTGGAAGGACTTTATGGCGAATCGTTTATGGATCGCGAGTACTCTCGTGGCTTCAAATAGGATGTCAAAGAGACCGATGTCTGGTCGAAACCCTCTTGAAGCTAGAGCACGTAGAATGCCCTGGAACCACGACCAATTCAATCAAACCTTGTATGACACGACAATATCTACTGGACCATATTGTGCTACATTACAGTTTCTGCTGCTCAACCATGTATAATCAACATTTCGATATTCATGATACCATCATTCTGCTGTTGAACGCACGGATGCTCTCCAGACGTTCGATATCTTTTCGTACAAAATGCACGGTTATCATTCTGCTCTTCGTATATCTTCGAAATTTCATTGTCGTATTTAGAAAATTGATAGACAGAATTTTTCCATTAGTAAAAGTTTGCATTTACTATATCTATAATTTTATTCAATGGAAACACAGTCGTTCGACGATAAAAAGAATCAATAGATGAAATAACGCTGCTGAATTATGTATGCGCCAGGGAGATATTCAGCAACGAGCAATTATTCATAGCGGAACAGGGATTCGGGATAACGTTTCGCCGTCGTGAAATGATAAATATTTCGCTGAATACACAAACATTTCCAAATATTCATATTTCAAAATTCCTTATATACGGATAAAATTTCATTACAATCAAGCGAGATTAAAATTTCACTTTGATAATTACTAGACTTTGTTTCAATATTGACCACTACTATCAAGCTGTTGAAATAAATATTTTCTAATTAGTGAGCTTGATGAACCCCTACTATTACTCTTCCTGAAGTTAACAGAAACTTGAACCTCTTTCCAGACATATTTTAATTTTCGTTTGGAAAGGGTTAAAATTTTAGCAAATATTACATTTTCAAGCTCAATAAACTGAATAAATATTATAATGTACATAGCAAGGTCCACGCATAGTCGTCGTGTAACGAGCACAAACTTGAAACAATCGGTATGCCGTAGAATGCAATGCGAATTGTACGCATGCACGAGCAACAGTCGGGGAGAGAAATTCTTCATAATGGATGGTTATGTGCCATCTGTCTATGTAAGCTGGGAAAATCGTTCCGTTCTCCGGAGAACGCTTAACGTGCCTTGCACGCGCAGGTGAAAATCATCGAGGCTCGTTCGCTCGTTTGTTCGTCGCTTGTGCACGCGGCGTTTCTTCGGGGCAAGAATTTCAGCAACTACGGCTTTCGTATTCATGCAGAGGGATCTCAGTGCCGTGAAATAAACGAGTAGAATGCGGCCGAATAAATTTTTCAAGCCTTTCTCCGACCGCCCGAGTACTCGTCCTCGCTCGAAATCAAATTAACACGAGGGACCAAGAAAAAGCCCGTTTGAAAAATAGATCCGCAAGATAAGCTATGAAAACGCATCGTTTCTAACGTTAATTTGCACGATCGCGTTTAATGGCCATTTCCCTCGACGTTTTTACAACACCTGACCCCACACTGTTTTCTCGGCGAATCCTTCGATTCCATTAGACGGAATAATAAAGAATTTTAGCTCGTTAACGCGTCGATCGTTTTTGTTTGAAAAGTTAAACACGTTTCGCAGCTTCTTCTTTTATACGGTCACAAAACTTGAATGTACTTTAACTTTTTAACCCGACGAACGATTAATTTATTACCTGTTTTGATGATCTCAGAAAATATTAATATCGTGTTACAGCTGGGATAAGAAGAAGAATCATCATTTATACTGAAATTCTTACGCTTTCATTTCAAAAGAAATATGTTTCTTCTTATAATAAAAAAGGAAGAAATAAATTCGGAGTAATCGAACGTTGAAACCGAGTGGATCCTGACAGCGAAGGGAACGAGACGTGGCCGGCATCGCAAGTGCATGGCGATTTGCAATCGTTGCACGGTGCATCGTTGCAACCAGCCGCATCACGTCGTCGATCAGCCACGACGACACGCCGCACGATGGGGAACCATGGGACGAGAGCAATTAGCAATTAAAATCGGGAGCTCGGCGATTGATCGGTCTAGCATGATACCAGCCTGTCCCACGGGCCAATCGACTCTTGGATTATAATTACGGGCGCTAATTGCGCGGCACCTGCCCACCTTCCTTCCTTCCTATCCTCTTCTCTTCTATCAGAGAGCAGCCGCGTGATTAGTACTCGACAGGCCGCCGGGTTAAAATGTCCCGAGAATTTCATTTCCGGGACAGGCATTTTCCTATCTCTATTCCTTGATTAATCGACCGAAATCGACTGAACCTATCATAGCATGATAGTTTTAACCCTTAACTAGCACGGTGAAATGCAAATACTATTCGATGGATTCTCGCGAGTAATGTTCAAATGACACTCCCTGTGCAGGACCTTTCGTATTTATTAACAGAGAGGATATACACGCGCTATTTGCAGTTAAAGAGTTAATTAAACGATTCGAGGGAAGCGATTTCCTTGATCTGTCCGAGAAGGACGTTTACGGCGAGCAACTCGAATGAAAACGAGTTCGATTTTCATGCGACGCGTTTCGACGCTCACGTGGCAAATGAAAAGAGCCCCGGCGTCATGGAATTCTAATAAACGTTCGACCACGATGGCCAGCTGGGAAACGAGATTCCTAGAAACGTTTGAATTCGTGACGCGGTCACGAACGCGTAACGAACACACGCGTCCGCCCGTTTCGTTCAATCTATATATCCCCGGGGCGGAAATGATCAAGCTCGTACCGCCGTGAAATATCGGCAGACGAAAATATATTTTGCAACTGAACTCACGTCGTTTTGAGCGAAGGTCGGCGTAATTGGCCCGTCGCTGGCTTCCCATTTGTCGGCGATCCGGATCGTCTCCGCCGTTTTCTGCTGCACCGATTTCGACTCGTCGAGCAACGTCAGCTCGTAAAATTCCTGGATATCTGCAACAGTCCGGAAAACGTCCAATCAAATTAATACGCTTCCAACGATTCACCATCGACTATTGTCTGCTTGAACATCCTCGTAAACCGTTGATGGCCGAAGCTTCGACAATAGCATTCGTATCGGAACTCGTACGTTTTGAAAGTTAATTAAGTAAACAATGCTTCGACCATCGACGGTCGTTTATAAATTTAATCTCTACCTTTGAACAAAGATCTTATCGCAAAATGGCCAAGTAATTTTCAATACACCAACGAGGAATTTACTCGACGGATCAAAGCGTGTACCACGTTCGAGGACGACGCTTAGAACATAATACCGACACGTCAACGAGTCTAACGCGGGTCCTTTGCGGTCAGGACGCGATCATATTTCCTTAGTATAATGGTTCAGCTACTACAGACTGCTAGATGAAGCGTCGATAGATGAAACGCATATCGATCATTTCGTTGGTTAATTAATCGAGCAGAATACATTGCAAGTGTGAACGCAAAGGGGATTCAATTGGTTATTCTACTACAGATAATTACACTGGTTAACTGATTCTCGTGAATTTGTAAATTGTAAACGATGATGAATTCCCACAAGGTCCTTAGTTAAGGTTACATCGCGATAATGATAAAGGACCGAGCAAAGAACTGTAATTTACTCTAATTATTGTACCTACCCTGTGTTTATTTAGAGCGTATTAGCAGTACACATCGCGAGTGGTTAAAGTCAATTAACTAGTTCGGATTTATATCTGGTGATATTAATGCACAACGTAATGACATAACTCTGGAAATTACTCACGGGAGGGCAACTAACAAGTGACACTCCCGAGGCCGATGCCTCAAAGTGGTTACTTGCCGTGTGCCGATTTATTAATCCTTTGAGCGTGCTTTGAAGCTATTCAGAAGATTACGAATGATAATAACAAAACGGAACAGTACAGTCTTATGCGGCAAATTGTTAAACTTTAATTTCGTTACTTGAAATTAAAGTTAAATACGGTTAAGATACTTTCATGTAAAAGAAGAATTTCCGAAAAATAAAGTAATGGAAGTGCTCCCCCGGATTGCTGCAACGAGGGAAAAAAATTTCACTAAATTTACGACTGCATGTACCAGTGCGTTAAACGTCAAAGAGAGCGTTGGTTACGCGTCGCGAAAAGTTCTACGACTTTAATTAACGTCCTGACTTTTTGTCCCCCTGTGAACACCAGCCAGCCTCGAAACACCCTCGAAACACAGGTGACGGTCCTCGAATTTTTCCTTTTAATTCACGTTTAATGGCAACTCTACCAACATCTCACGCTCTCTTGTAAGTACCTACGTCGTACCATTTATTCGAGCAATGCTAATCTTTTTCTTCGAACTTCAGCTGGAGTGTGTAACTTACAGACGGCTCTATAACGCAAAGTACAGTACTCGAAAAATCAAAGCTGACGGATGAGATTTTTCAAATATCATTGAATACGATTTCAGATGTATAAGGGATAATTTATCTACCAGAATTTCTAGTTATATTTAAAAAAAGAAATGATTGACGTTTACAAGCTGCTTTTAATCTCGTTCGAATCAAATTGATGTGTACAAAACAGAACGGGGAATGAAAAGCGTGTAAATATTTTAATGCAAGTATAATTCAACTTCATTGACTAACAAAAAGCAATTGTTTATCGAATTTATTTGTTCGATTTCAAAGGGAACACGGTTAACGCACGCGTATATATTATATTTTTTAGTTGCAACCTGTCTGTCATTCGATTTCTCAAAGGACGAGGTAAACTGCAATTTCGTTTCACGTCAACTGCGTTAGCGATATTGCGTTATACATTTTCAAATAGCTTCCTGATTCCATCAGCATACAAACATGCATCAATCCGATCTGCTACGGTCGCTTTTTTCTATTCATGGCACGGCTTCGAATACCGGCCGTCGAACGTCTAAGTATTACCGGTACATTTTTCACGGGGAATGCAAGAAATATCGAAAACTTATTTCAATCCTTCCTTGCTTTCCCTTTCAAACGGTTTCTTCCTTCCTTTGCCAGCTATTTCAGCCGGCGCGGAAAACGCGCGTAGAATTCTTTTCCACGTCTGTACCACCCGATAGAGGCTTATTTCTAATGCAATTTTATGTAAAAAGCGAATAGAAGTGGAGTATATACATTTTCACTTCGCCAACGAACGCGTTAATATCCGTATTATAGCGCGCCGCACTAAATATTGATATTTCTACTGCGGCGATCAACCTGTTAACTGTAGTTCGTACTATCACCGACAATGCGTTAATTTCACCACTCTAAGAGACTTGTTTATTACTCCCCTCACAAATAACACGTTCCACGTTCAATTTTCAACCAGAGTATCGATTGGTCGTGATTTAAATCATTTTAAATCCCTCGAGTAACGAAAGCATGTTACCGTTCGATGCACAGGCGAATATTCGGTCCATCGAGCATTTAAATATTTACATTGACATAATTATGAATTTCGGCGACACGCTACATAATTGTACCGAGTACAGCTAATATTAATATTGAATATTCATTGGTCGAAGAGGACGTATTCGGCACACGGATGTGTAGGTACTCACACCTGCAAATGACGTTTTCTTTTCAATGAGCGTCCTCGCAAATTCACCAACAATTCAATTACAAAATCGACCGATTGAAAAACATTAAATTTTGTTAAAATTTGTACGGTTAAAACGGCTATTTAATCGACTCGATCGGGAACGCATCTCGTTCGGATGAACGAATAATTTGACGATGTCATTCTATTATATTATTATTTTTATTTCACAGTATCGATACAGACCCGAGGATCCGAACGGCAGAGATAAAAATACGATAGGAAAAAAGAAGAAATGAAAGAGGGAGATTTCGAAATTCTCCGTAATTTTCTCAATACCAGCGAACTTTTCCCGACGAATTTTTTCCCAACGTTTTATTCCAACTCGTAGCCCTTTTTCCCCTCGAATAGCGGCTGCTAACCACAAAGTACACGCGATGAAAAAAGTTGCAGTAACAGTTGCAGCTTACACACGCCAGCGAGAAATACCGTCACTCGAGGGTTTCCGCTAATTTCCCGCCATTTCTTTTACCGTATCGTATCCCAGTTTCCGGCGTGGTCGTGAGCCGAACTGGAACTCGAATGGATTCACTCGTCGAGAGCGAGGAGTTTGTTACTTTAGCTGGAAACAACGAGTTTCTCATTTGACAACGTCTCAGACACCGGTGCAGTTTTTAAAGCTGTTTCGCGTTCGCGACACGAATCCGGTTTTAATTTTCAGCTCAAGATCTTCGTGCCGCTGCTCGAGCACCCTTGTCCTCTTTCACGGATACTTTAAGACCGGCACGAATTTCAACGATATCCGTGTTACAATTACACGCGACAAACAATTACACGCATCCGTACGGTTGAAATGTACCAAACGTCGCTGTAAAATGAAATTCCGTTCGCGTTTCTAGCAGGCCAACCACTCTCTGCCCTCCACTTCTCCACGACCCTACTCGACCGGTGGAAAGAAAAATAGAATGCCATTGTAAGCTCGTTCCGTGCTCGCTAGACCCTTTTGTCCATTGTTTTCCCTTCCTCGATTCCACTTTTCCAAACAGGAAAAAAGCAAGACGGATAGAGAGGAAGAGATTGCGAAAGAAGGAAAGAAAAGGAGGACGATAAATAGAAGGTTCGTAGCAACGATGGGCTATGAAGCGTTTCGAATATATGTAAAAACATGGGCAAAGTTTCGAGTCGCTTCGAGTTTCGTTTCGAACTCGAAAAGTTTCGGTGCTCTTCAGATACCAGTGGTTCTTGAAAATAAAGAATAAATTCGAGTGTTTCGAGATCTATCTGGAGTTTTAGGAGTTTTAGAATTTCTAAGGTTCGATCAAAATTCCAGGTGATTCGAAACTCGAGTACGCTTGAATTGCTTGACAACTTTCAAGCGGGAGCTTCGAATATCCATCGGTTGTTGGTAAATCGTTCTCCCTCGATCTGGGAGTCGGTCGAAAGGAATCGTTTCGGCACAAAAATAATTTTTAATTTTCACCCTGCTCCAGGCGACGAAGCATGAAAAGGTCGTAAGGTGGCTCGTCTTATCTCGATTTCCTCCGTTCTGCTTTTCTTAACCTCCGTTTTACGCGCATCCACTGGCAGTGCATCGTGGACAAAGGTGGTGGCGGGCAAAGAAACTTGGATGGGAGCTCGAGTTATACACGGAAAATGGCGTATCTCCTATGAACAGCCCCACGGCTGCCGTTAACGAGTTTCAGTTTATCGTCGTCCACGTTGCTGGCGTCTTCGAGACGTGCACACACAGCTTGCAAACTAACAGCCTAAACCCCCGTGAAAATTACGTGTCGTCGTTTAAACTTCCCTCCGTTGCCGGGCTATCTAAAAGCGACTAAACGCGTCGATTACCGGCCACACAAACACGGTACCATCATGAATCGAGCAATAAACGTAAATTGTTAACTGCATCCGCGGATCGCGACCTCTGCGCGATATCGAACCTAAGTTCCAGACCACTTTCGGTACCAGCTCGTAACCGCACAATCCGTTTAGTAATTGCTTGGCTCGTTTGCGTGTTGGCTTGCGGTCAACGTTAGTTCATAAGGGGCTTTATTATTTTTAAATAATGCACCACCAAGGTTTATCTTGAAACAGCATTTTATATGCACCTCATCTATCACAAATGCATAAATAATAAAAACGAGAAACATCCGCTTCTTGAATACAGAAACGAATTTTATAGTGCATACCATAAAGTGCAGATGCACTTTCGGAAGTGCATTCGATGGATAATAAAAAATGTTCCATTTTTCTGTTGTTCTTACGCGATATCAGTTCTTCCTTACGCTGTTGAATAAAAAAAGGAAACTATCAAAAATTTCCGACACGTGTTTCTTTTATGATCAGTGTATTATAAGGGCACAGAAAAACAGCAAGCGTATGGAAGGAAATTTGTCGTTAACTTTCCTCCTCAATTTTCCTGTCTTTCGCTCGTTTCTG